AGCGCGGGGCTGAGGACTGAGATGAGGGGGTGCAGGGAGGCGAGAAACCTCGGGAGAAGGGACAAGCACACGTCCCACTACCCTGAGGCTGCCTAAGACCACAGGACGGCAGAGGGTAGGGTGGGCCGCCACAAACCTTCAGCAGGATATAAGGGGAAATTCATGTGAAGATATTACAGCTTCATCACTGAACATCGAGTCTGACTGCCCCCCAAATTAGGTCAGAGCAACGTGCTGTGCCTTCATCAGCAGCACCCGTGTACTTGTGAAAAGACTGAGATCACATGAAAACTGAACTGTGGCTCTCCCAACCCACCTCTCCCCCAGGCTCCGAGGCCCACCATGACCTCACTTGGCTCCCGGATGATACTGGGTGAGAGGAAAAAGCCCAGGCCGGATTTTCACGCTTTAAATCTTACCCCTCCTCCTCCCGGGATATTGACCGATACCGAGGTTGAGCGACTCTGGCTGCTAGGTCCACACTCTTCTTGCTGGGAGCTCTGGGGAGGCTCCCTCACCCTAAGTGATAAACCCGTTTCAGAGTGGAGGCCAACGGTGCACAGACACTAGCCCAACACCCTGGCATTTTTGCTCCTGCTTCCCACCCAAAGGTCCTGCTGAATCAAGGAGAGGGCCCGCAGATGTCTAACAGCAGCTAGCTGCTGAGCAAACCTTGTAATGGGAAGTTCAGTCCACAAGGACCTCTCTACCATATGCTAGACTTAGGCTAATATTGGGTGAGTGACGTGGCCTCTCTATTAGGGCCCCTTTTGCTCCTGGCTTCTGACCCTTGCAGACTTCCAAAAACAAAACTTCCCTCCTTGAGGAGGTGGCTAAGTAAGTCCTGAAAAGCTCCCTCCCCCACTTTGCCGTCTAAGAGGAGTGAGGGGAACAGGTAGGGGAGAGGGGAGGAGGTCCGACTGATGAGCCCTATACTCAGGTTCTCTGCAAAGCTAGATACACAGCCCTGCATGCGGGCCAAATCTAACACGATGGCCTGGGGCTAAAACAGGGCTTCTCAAGGCTCCTCCCTGATAAGTCTGAGCTCTGCTCAGAGGCCTGAGTCAATTCGATGGGTCACTGCCCAGTCCAGAAAAGCAGGGAGGCCCAGCTAAGGACAGAGAAAGGGGGAAGAGTCCAGAATTTGGAATGGGTGGATAGAAGGAAGCAACGAGCAAAGACATGTGAGGGCCAGTCCAGTCCAGGCAACACAAGTACAGAGGGCGATACTCTTCCAAACCGAAAGGGGAGAACTAATTACAAATCATGGAAGTCCATGTCGCCTCAAAGAGGGGCACAGGAAGCCGCGGCTTTACAATCAAGTAGCCGGAATAGCCCCCTTCCTTCAGTCTCCAGAGATCCTTCGTAAGGACTGAATCATATGTACAGTCGCCACCACTGCTGGCAGGAATGCTCTGTTCAGTGGAAGCCCTCCACAGCAGGACCTGAGAGCCGAGTAAATATTTACTAACTCTAGGTGCTCCTGGGCTAATTTTTCTAACGCTGACGCCTACCTGACCATGTTACCATGACAGCAGCAGTAGATGGCGTGGGGGTGGGGCTGTGGGAGGAAGGCCATCTGGTTGGCCAGTATGTATCTGATGCTGGAGACTAATTAAAAGGATCTTTCTCTCCCCTCTCGGTTTCCCCACTCCCACAAACAAGTGAATATCCAGTCTGATAAGTCTATCTTAAACACTGCTCCCTTATGAGAAGTCAGTGGTCTCCTAGGACTAAATACCAGCCTGTCCAGAAAAGATAGGATTCGATCAAGACAATTTCCAAGGACCTGCATTAGGGATTAGTGAAGTCACTGAACACGGCGGCGGGGGGCCAAGAGGTCTACTACGAAATGTTTCACTCGGCGTGAAAGGAAGACTGATAGGATATGAACCACCCCTTGTGGAAAACCTATTTAAAGACCACACCCACTGCCATCGAGCCGATTCTGACTCATAGTGACCCTGTAGGACCGAGGAGAAGTGGCCCATAGGGTTCCCAAGGCCGTAAATCTTCATGACAACAGACCGTCACATCTTCCTCCCAAGGAGCGGGCACTGGGTTCAAGCAACTGACCTTTCGGTTAGCAATCAAGTGCTTAACCACTGTACTACCAGGGCCATACCTATAGCCAGTATCACACCAACCAGCCCCAAATAACCCGTAAAGCCAAACCCACTCCACCGAGTCAGTACTGAGTCTCATCAGATACAATCCGGAGACCGTCTACGGCCTCACAAGTTCTGACTTCTCTGGGCCACAGCTCCCGCCTTCACCCGAAAGTGAACCAGTCTCTCAGCCAAATAAGGAGCCACAAAGGCTCACAAGAGCAGGAACTCCATGTTCAAGCGCTTCCATTCTCCAGCACTATATTTGACTCATTCCCTCCCCAAATCAGGATGGGGGCAGGCAGTAAGGCTCATGCCTTCGAAGAGAGGGACGGCCAAGGAGAAAAAAGGACACAACACAGGCTTCCTGGGGTAGAAGCCGCAGTTCCTGCCCGTGATGCTCCTCACCAGTGCTCCAAGCTCCCAGCCTCAAAAGGGCCTTTCTGAATTGCCTTCGCTTCCCGTTATGATCTGTTGCTGTTGTGACCCGTGGCTGACTCATGCAGCTGCTCATGAAAAGGCTGGCGGTTCGAGTGCACTTAGAAGGGGCCTTGGAAGCCTGACGGAGCTACGTCCCCAAGCACCAGCCACTGGATACCTATGGAGCACTGTCCTACCCTGACACCCAAGGGCTGCTGGGAGTTAGAAGTGACTTGACAATTGGTTTGGGGTGTGTGTGTATTAACGTAGTCTTTAAAGAATGAGCTCCAGAAGGCACACCTTGGGTCTCCCCATCCCTATCTGATTGTGCACGTGGCATGTTGAGTGGTCCGGAGACTAGCCCTGCGCTGCTGGGCAACGGGCAGATCTGTGATGGGACAAACCAAGCAAGGAGCTGCGGCTGGTCAGCCGGCACCAGGGTCTGCTGACTTCTATGTGCAGAGGTCTGCAGGGACACCCAGAGGAAGCAGCCAGCCATGCTTGCCCTTCTAGAGGCTTCCAGATCTAGTGGGGATAACAACCGCACGCGGGGGGGTGGGGGGTAAGCAGGGCTTCCTGGAAAACTCGGAGGCAGAGGACAAAGGGCAAAGATGGAAGGGAGATGGGTTGAGACATACTAGGAAGATCTACATCCTGAAAAAGATGAAGAAAAAAAGTTCCTCTCCCTGAAAACAGTTGAAAGTTCACATTCAGACAGTTAAAAAAAAAAAATCAAGAAAATAGCTGTTTCCTTTCTTTGGTGGCCCCTCCTATCCTATCCCTTTGTTTACTAACACATCACAGTTCAGAAGACCAGGGAGCGTCTGCCCTGATGGGACACAGCAGAGCAGAGGCAGCGGGACCCCCTTAGGGGTCAGGGTGGGGAAGAAACAGATTTGCATGCATCCATCAGGGTTTTTTTCCCACCACGCCAACTGTCAACGATTGACTTTCTAGAATCCTAGAATGCTACACCCCACAGGCTCACTGAGGCCCTATTGGGTAGGTAGAACTCCTATGGGTTTCTGATACTTCACCTCTTTACAGGAGTAGAAAGCATGGTGGTTTCAAACCGCTGCCCCTGCGTTTGGCAGCCCAATGGACACCGAATCAACTGAAGGGCAATGAGTTTGGTTTTCAAGCCCGCTGCCCTGGAGACAAGTGCGGCCCATGGGGCAGGACCAGTGAACACTCTAATGATGGCAGGGGTCACATCTTAAAAGCCGGTGTTCAAGTTGTCAGGCGATTCTGAAGTCATTTCCGCCTGTTTTGGCAATGCCTGGCGTTTGTTCTTAATTATATCTATCTTAGCTGACAGAAGACAACAGCAAGAACCAAATTCATCGAACTGCCCACAGACGTATGTGGAGAACGCAGGGTGGGAAGGCAGTCTGTGAACAGACAGTTGCTGATCAATTGTCCAGTCCTCCCCAAAGCCCGTTGTGTACAAATGGTCCACCATCATGTATCTGACTCCACGTTTCTCACATCTCAAATAGGAATTTCACCTATTTGCCCACCCTTCAACACGTGATAACAGGCAGGGACAAAGTGAGAGGTGAGTGTCAGGGCCTATTTTACTCACTTACTCATTCGTCCTATTCCTAGGGAACCAAGAGTTGTAGGTATCTGGGCAGTCCCATGCTGGTCTGGGTCTCATGCTCCTAAGACTGTTTATGTAGGCTAGAAAAGGAACACAAGATCAAGTCCTGAATGTCAGGACAGGGACAAGAGGCACAAGTGACGGCGTGACAGGGCAGGGTCAATGACCAGGTCCTCCAAAGTCCCCGTTCAAGCCCCATCGCAGCTGCCTCATCCTACCCTTCCTCGGCACCTGAGGTCTCCTTCTTGGGTCTGAGCCATCTGGTTCTGAAGCAGAGTCCTCTAGCTCCCACCCATCCCTCCAACACACTACAGTGGTTGGTGCTGCCAAACTAAATACTGTTCACTTTCAAGGGAGTCTCCACTCATTCGAAATGCCCACTGGACACCCCTGGCAATCACTGATACCACACCACCCATCCTGCACCTAGGACCAAGGTCTGGGGCAAGCTCCCACCAGACAGACCCCAGCCTCGAACAGACACGGCCTTCTACCCCATCCCAGCCACGCATTCTTCAATCAGTACACGACCTAAGTCTCAAACAGTCTTGACATTAAGAATAGCTGTGGTCTTATGCGGATAGGGACGTCAAAAATAAATTTGGTCAATCAAGATGCTGTGTCCCTTCCTCACCAACTCCCCCAACCCATTTTAGTACTGGTGGCTGCTGTTACTATGGCAACTTGTCCAGGAAGTTGGCCCACATTTCTTCCTTCAGGGGCAGGAAGTCTGCAGCAGTGTTTGCGTCGCCTTAGGAAAAACATAAGGGCCTCCTCCTGCCCACCCATCCACCCACCCCGCCCAGGATCCGCTCCAGTATCCCTCCTCAACCCAAGTCCTTAACTCCCTTCCCCACCCCCACACCTACCTCCTCTAACTCATCCTTGGCATCCAAACTGGTGGAAAGTAGCAGCCTCCCCCCTCCTGGGGCTCCTGCTCCCGAGCCTCCTCCACCTCCCGCTGCTCCCGAAGCAGCTGGTACAGCTGCCCCTTTCCCCTTCGGTAACTCCATGGCTGCAGCCGGGAGACCGGGAAAGGTCAGGGAGGGGGTAACGGGAAGGAAGTGCTGGGAAGAGGGCAACTGGGAATAGGAACTGCCAGAGGCAGGGGACTCGAGTAACAGGTGGGGGATGGGAGGCAAAGGGCCCCTGTCCACCCTGCCACTCCTCCCTCTCCAAAAGGCCGCTTCTTGCTGGGAGTCAAGAGGCACGGCCCTGTAGACCCTGTCTCTGGAGGGGCCGTGTTCTTGCTCCTAAATATTGGGGGATTAGGGTCTTTTGCCCCCCCGGGGAGGCGTAGCAGAGGCTTGCAGAATTGGAAGCAGAGCCCTTCCTGGATTCTGATCCTGGGAGGAGGAGGGAAAACCTTACGTTTCGGCCTCCCGAGAGAGGGGGGTGGGGTGGGGCAAAGATGAGTCCTGCCCCGTAAGTCGAGGGAGGAAAGCCTCCTGGCGGGTGCCTCGAGGGCTGGGGAGCGGGGCTCCCTGCGAGCCGACCCCCAG